ACATCTGTATTGCTTCTCCTTGAAGTAAAGGCCTTCTCTTCTAACTTGCAATAAATTCTTGTAGAAAGCATAAAGAAGGTTTACGGCACTCTGTGGCTGCAGCTAGAGTTATATAATGGGATACTGTTATAAAACAACAGAATACACATTTGCAATAGTAAATACACACTGATAACAAAAATTCTTATGAAGTCTTTCATAAATAAATTACAAAATTGAATACATGAGAAAGATAATATCTGCATGGCCTGGAAATTGGATTTTTAGTCCTTGTATAATATGCATAAACTTTATTTATGGTGTTTGGCTCATTCTGCTAGCACCTGCTTATATTCCCTCAGACAACTGAACTGAGTGGTGGCATGTCCCTTGTAAAACTATCTGGCCAAGAGTAAATGTTTCTGGGATTGGGCCCTTAAGTAAAAGGTTCCTGGAGACTCTGGAATCTGTCTTTGTCTGCATTTGCTCTGGAGTGAACACATGAGTATTACTTCCAAACAATAATAATCTTTATTCTATGTGTAGCTTTTAGAGGGTTGAGCAGGATAGCTGATCAGATCAAGGCCACCTACATATTTTCAGTTTCTCCTGGGAGAGTCACCATGAGTATACAAATTTCAGTCTTTTACTCCCAGCAAAAATAATGTGGGAACAACCAGGGTTAAATCACTCCTATGAGAGTTTCTCCTTGGAGAACAAATGTCTGTACACGTTCTAAGATGGAGCACTGCATGCTGGATTCTAAGACCAGATGCTCAGCTGGTACAAAAAGTCATAGCTCCTCTGAAGTCAAGTGGTTTTTGGGCTCAATGTAGAGATAAATATAATGTGTTATATACACAACTTCAGATCTAACAGTCTCTTCTGGTCTTAAACTCTACAAACCTATGAATCCAAGCTACACACCTCCTGAAAATCTGGTTTTAGCATCTAGCATGCGATACTCCACCTTGGTATGAATAGTTACCCTACTAGAATCGCTGCACCTGACAATTTATACCAGCTGAGATTCTGCCCCCTAATTTTAATCCATCAAGCCTTTAGAGTGAAAATAAAGTTTTGCCAGGCTTCATTTTAGATCTTCATTGACCACTCTTGGTCTGTAGGCTATGCTTTGGTGCTTACATACTTTGTGGGCAAACGGGTTTGCCATGTTCTGCTTCAATGAAATGTGACAAAATAAGCATCCATTTTGCCATGTGATATGGTGTAAGTGGAAGTGGTGTAATTTTGCTCTCTTGTTTGGTACCTTGTTGATCACAGTGAAAAATCAGTGTGATAAAAGATGACATGCAATTCAGAGTGATAAGCGGTGGCTTCTCTTAAAATATTCCTCCTATGGCCTATGTAATACTTTGTCTCCAAAAGTCTAATGTAAGTGTTTTGCAATGGGTTAAGCCTTGCTGCACCATGTTTGCATGTTTACAATGACCACAGTGCTACCACATTGTATCAGAAACCCACCAACCATCAAGGCTGCCTTCAGGCAACCACCCTTCATCCTAAGCACACCATTAAATCCATTGTCTGCAGCCAAGCTCTACATTGCAACCATATCTTCTCTGACCCCGTTGACCAGATGGACACCTTAAGGATCTGGAATCGGGATTCCTACAGTTGTATAATCCCCAAACTGTACCCAATCAAATCAACAAAGCTAAACTCAGACCTCACTCTGACCTGCCACAAAACCAAGCCCCAGACAAGGACAACAGACTATTTTTGGTTGTCACCTACAGCCCCCAGTTTGAACCTCTTGGACACAAAATGAATGACTTCCAACCGCTCATGAAAAATTACAAGCATTTTACAGGCAGCTCTAATCTCAAACGGCATCTCTCTAGCAATTGGCTACCTAGCTCCTATTGCCACAGAGGCACCAGGCCTTGCAACCGACCCAGATGTTTAAGTTGTGCTCCCTCATCAGTACAGAACACATCATCACTAGACCAAATTACACTGATTATAATGTCTGAGATTCACTCACCCACTTCATTCACCTAAACCTCTACAAATGATTTTGTGTTCAAATCACTGTTTGATATACTACTCCTCTCACAGCATCTGATGAAGTGAGCTTGTGTTCATGAAAGCTCATGTTATACATTCTATTTACTTCATCTATAAGGTTCAAATCTACTTTGCCCTCTGCAGGAATACTTATTAGAACCCAGCAAATCCTGCTTTAACTGCTAGTCCATTTTCCCTCCTTGAAAGGGGCGATACATTCCTAGATTTTCTATCTTCATTGTTGTTTTTCAGAACTCTTTCTGTTTTCTTACATTAAAGCCAAAGGTTGATGCATATACAGTTCCTTTTTTCAGGCTGATGATGGCTGCATGTTCCACATGCTTTGTTCTGAGGAGACAGTCATTCAGCAAAGCCTGCATCTGGTTCATTTTTCTTCAGTTCTGTGAAAGAAATCAGATGTGTAGGTGTGCATGCCTTGTATTTTAGAGGCCTGATCCTATTCCAGTTGAACTCAATAGCAAAAGTTCCACAAATGTCAACAGGTATTATACTGGAGCTCAAGTACACAGCTTCATTAAAACAACAGCAAGAACAAAATGCAAACAAGCAAAACAAAAATTATAAGGAAGTGTACATAGGGCAGCAGAGAACAGGCTATAACTAACAGGACCTTGGTGAAAATCTGGTCAATTTAAATAATTAACATGCCAGAATCCTTTTCTTTTGGAATGGAGGAATGAAGTCCCTTAGGTGACTGGTTCACAGTAAAAAAGCTGAGAAGGATGTTATAACTTGCTACAGCCAAAAGGTTACCGCAAGAATGGGTGGTCCTGCCTTAAGCAGGTGGTTGGACTAGATTACTTCCTGACATAGGTGAAGTGTATGGGGGACATGGGGGGGACACATGCCCCACCTGAGATTGGCCACCACTGAAGCCACCACCGGCTTTTGTGGGTGGTCACTGCTTGCCACCCACCCCCACACTTGCTGCCAATGCAGCCGGTGGCATCTGCAGGTGGTCCCTGCTCTCCACTTGCAACCTCCCTCTCCCCTGCCGCCAATACCACCACTGCTGGCGGTGAGTGGTCCCTGCTTGCCACGGCTGACACCGATGCTGGCAGCTGCGGGAAGTCCCTGCTCGCCACCATGGTGCTCCCCCAGTCTCGGGAGGCACCAGTCGTTCATGCTTCCTGAGGTCTCTTCCAACTTTTATATTGTATGATTCTGTGATTCTAAGAAGGAAGATGGGGATGGATACTTCACCGAAGCATCACAAACCATACAAGCTCCGTATTGAGATGTTTCACTGCTGATCATTTTAATAGCACAGTGTCAACATTTAAGGGGGCTTCCATTTGATTTAAAAGTTAATGAGCTCTGGTGACAGGACAGGGCTCCATTTCTTACCTAACATTATTGTGTCACCGTGTCTGTCTGCTTATGCAGCAATGAGTCTGCATCAAGTCATATTTTGAAGGCTCCTTTGGCAACATGAAAGGCTAGAAACTAGGAACTGACCAGCCCTTGAACATCTCTTGACTATTAATTCAGTCTGGCCCATGTGTTAGAACTGGCAGAGCTTTTCAAATAGTGCTTTACACAACTTACCCGTACAAATTAGAGAGATGTTTTCTTATTTCTCTACAGCAGAGCCATTGGACGACTTGATTTCCATTTCATGAAACACATTCATTAATAGCCACATGCTGAATGTGAGTGGCTTCCGTTAAGCATTAATGGCGTTCATCATGCAAACAGCATGGTCCCACCAGCCGTGCAGTTTGTCCATTTGAATACGTTACACATGACTGTCAAACACAACCCATCAGACAGATCATGGGGCTCGTCTTTGGGGTGCGCAGGGAAGCGTAATGGCCTGCGATGGGTGGGAGGCCAAGTGAGAGGCTCTCACGAGCTCCTCTGGCCTTCAACTCCTCAGGACTCATGACTTCCAGTTTGCAAAGATGCTAGGGTTGCCAACTCTGAATCTATTCCAAGAGGTTTCATCACATGATACAATGACACTAATGACTTTACATCACGAAGGCAAATGCACTTCACTATTTCATTTAAAAAACCCACTAGGCAACTGTATAAATCAGATTCAACATTTCATGTTTATTTTAGTATCATTGATCTCCCCGGTGACTCTCTAAAGTAGAGTGATAAATTAGACATAAATGTCTAAATTAGAGATTTCTCTCTAATTCCTGGAGACTCCTGGAGGGCTGGAAACCCTAAAAGATGCTCAGTTGAGAGGTGAGGCAGCACTCAGGGCAGGGGGGCGTTGGCGTGGGGGGCTCCCCTTGCACCCACAGGGCCATGTAATTGGTGGTGCAGGGCGAGGAGGCACCTACAAGCCCCTTTGGGTGGTTCCCCTCCCCCGACTGTCTGTGCAGTGAAGAGCCCAGGGGACGTGTCCCCCACACAGGGTCAGCCCAGGCCAAGCACCAGCCCATCCCCAGCCCCGAGGGAACGCCCCTTCCTCCCCAGGGCCTACGACTCCCAGCATGCCGCGCACGGACAGCTCCAGTTCCCAGCATGCCGCGCTCAGAGAAACTAGTTCCCAGCACGTCGCGCGCAGAGCTTCAATTCCCAGCATGCCGCGCGCTGCGCTCAGAGAAACCCGTCCCCAGCATGCCGTGCGTAGAGAACTCCAGTTCCCAGCATGCCCCGCGCCTCCCACTCAGTGACCGGGTGGGGGGAGGGGGACTTTAGTTGTGGCATGTAGCATGCTGGGAACTGTAGTCCCACCGGCCCACGCCGGCCTCTAGACAATAGCGCATCCCGGTCCCTCGGGCCTCGCTACCGGCGCTCCTCACCGTGCAGCGCTCCACCTCGCAGCCGAGCCGGAGAGAGAGATTTCTGGGCGTTTGTCTCCCGATTGGCTGCGCCGCACCTGCCTCGCGTTCCTGAGTGGTCGGGCGGTCTGTCCATCACAGCCGCGGGGCCGGCCTGCGGTTGCCATGGCAGCGAAGGACGCTCAACCGCCGGTGGCGGCCGCGGAGCCCCGGTGGGGGGGGATTTGTCTTGGCGGAGGGGCACGTGGATGAGAGCGGGTGATGGAGGCGGCCGGGGCCGCGCGGGACCCCTCGCCCGTGAGTGCGGCCGGGCCGGG